GATACTTTGTGACCAAAATATTTCACCCAAACGTCTCGAGAAATGGCGAAATTTGTGTCAATACACTGAAAAAGGATTGGAAATCCGATTTAGGGATAAAACATATTCTTTTGGTATTAATTGAAATCTAATTGATTTGTTTATTTGATAATTAATTGTTTCATTCATACCATCAGACCATCAAATGTCTACTAATTGTTCCGAACCCGGAGTCTGCGCTCAACTCAGAGGCCGGGAAAATGCTATTAGGTATGTGTTGTACGGTATAAATGGATGCAATGATTGTGATGATGACCACGGAGTGACTCTTGCAGAGCATTACGACGATTACTGCAAAAGAGCTCAAATGATGACCGAAATTCACGCCTCAAAGCAGTCGAAGGACTGCTTCGACACCGACACCAACGCCTGTTGCAGTAAATCTGATTCCGTGCGACGATTGGGTGATAACGGGTCGGACGAGACCTCTTCGGGACCTATACTCAAAAGACACGCCAACGACAAGAGTGTCACTAAACCTATTGCAACAACACTAACGCAAAAGAAGTCTAACATTAAAGATAAGAAGCGAACTCTAAAGCGATTGTAGTCTTAAGTCTTGAAATCTTTTTTTATTNGACCTATACTCAAAAGACACGCCAACGACAAGAGTGTCACTAAACCTATTGCAACAACACTAACGCAAAAGAAGTCTAACATTAAAGATAAGAAGCGAACTCTAAAGCGATTGTAGTCTTAAGTCTTGAAATCTTTTTTTATTTAAACAAATTATTTGACGAAAAGTTCAAATCTTTTAAATACAATGCAATTTCCGTTCACTTTTATAGACTTTACATTCAAATAACATATTGGAGTTTGAAATAAATATCTGAATAAATCTATGTATGCATTAGCCCTGAATAAGATCCTTTTCATTGGTTTCTGTAATGATTATAATTTTATTTACAGTTTTTTATTCAAAGTATAGGTTTTAAGTGTTTACAGATATTTTCCATATTTATTGTAAAACATTGCTTTAAATTTACACAAATTAATGGTTAATAAATATTTGTATGACTTTTGTTAAAGCAAACTATCAATTTATGGTTTAATGAGTGTTTTTCAATCATTAGTTCTAAACTAAACTTTTTGTACATTTTATTTTCTCTCCTATTCTTGTAATTATGAGTTTAATTCAATAAATTGTCATTTTTTAAATAAAGTCAATATTATAAGCAATACATTATACCGGTATTAATATAAGTTAATACAGTATTTATTTCTATGCGTGCAATTTTAAATGTCACAAAATCTTGTGTATGTAGTCGTACAGGTATTAATACTGTATTTTCTTTAAATTACCTTATACCTTACCGTATTGTACTATTCACGCCATAATTTTTAAATTGCTTATACTGTATTTTACCTAGAGTACTGTACTGTAGTCTATCTGCAGTCTAAAATTTAGAGTCTTGCACAATATTTTATGGGTAATTTACTGTAATGACTAAATGTTATACAGTGAGGTGTGTGTGTTGTTTAGAGGGGTTTCCTATAGTGGAGAGAGAGAGACTATTATTATCGGTATTATATAATACTTTATTATTTAGTTAGCAAAGTAATTTTGTGTTTCTTGAACTATGATTGATTGTAAAAATGATCAATTAATTGATTAATTAATTGATTAATGAATTGACTTCTTATGAGACATAGGCTTCACTGTATGACCCACTGTTTGGATGAGCTGTGAATGCAGTGCAGTGTCTGAGAGACAGTGAGTGGAAAACCGGTCACATCTCTACATCTCTATTGAGTGAGTGTTTGTTGAACAGAGAGACAGCGTTTGAGTGATCAGTGAATGTGTGAACGCGTGATATGATGGCCAACGAGTCGGAGGGGCCCTCCAAACAGGACTTGTCCACTGTCTTCGCCAAACTCAAGACACACACTTCCAATAAGGTTAGTACTCACCCGTCCATCACTCCACCACCACTCCACTCATCCAATTGTGTCCAATGGGTCCCATTGAAGGCCACGTCATATGTAGTGGCCTTTCAATCGAGTCATTGCCACACAATTGGACACTCTTTGACCCAAAGATGTCCACTGAAGACATATCTGTGGAGTGGTTGACACGATTCATATGATAATATGTCATCTTTGATGATATAGACGTGTTTCGATTGCGGGGCGAGAAGTCCATCGTGGGTTAGCATCACATACGGTGTGTTCATTTGCATCGACTGTTCCGCTGTCCACCGCGGCCTCGGAGTCCACATATCGTTCGTGAGGTCCTCCGAGTTGGACACCAAATGGAATTGGTCTCAACTGCGAGCCATGCAGTGCGGCGGCAACGCACCGGCAGTCAGTCATACCTCACCACTCAGTGCACGACACGTGCGACTCATGTGTTCCCCTCTTTTGCCATCACTTGTAGCACCAGTTCTTCGTCGACCACAACTGCACCACAAAAGACTCCCAACAGAAGTACTCGAGTCGAGCGGCGCAGCTCTATAGAGACAAATTGGCGCAAACGGTGGCCAATAGTCTCAAGATGTACGGCCATTGTCTGGAACTGCCCACTCC